TCTCTTCTGTTGCTCCCGGCCCTGCAACCTCTGCAGAGGACCTCCGAAGCCCTACTCCCGAACCTAGTCAAGATGTCTGAGGGTTTGTATCTTTTTCTTTTTCTTCTTTTTGTAAATATCCGACATGGATAATGTAATAAAATTTTGTAATAAATTTGCTCGAAGTTTGGAATTTACCTTCAATTATTTCTTAATTTCACTTTGTTTGCTTACAATTCCACTCTTGTTGAGAGAACAAGTGTTGATTATCATGAGTTGATCATGTTGAGACGACCCCGAGTGTTGAAGAGTTGGGTCGACCGGCTCGTTTTACGCCTTTTATTGGCGAGATGTCTGGATCTTTTTGTCAAGGACGACCAAAAGGTTGGAGTGCCTAGGATGCATATCTTTTGGCAAAATGATTACCCGAAGGTTGGGTGCCTAGGTCTTAATGAGGATGCCTCGGTCTTTTTGGCATAGTGACAACCCGGAGGTTAGGTGCCTAGGTAATGAGGATGCCTAAATCTTTTTGACAAAATGATAACTCAGAGGTTGGGTACCTAGGTCTTAATGAGGATGCCTATGTATTTTCAGCAAAATAACAACCCGGAGGTTAGGTGCCTAGGTCTTAATGAGGACGCCTATGTCTTTTCGGTAAAATGATAACACGGAGGTTAGGCACCTATGTCTTAATGAGGATGCCTAGGTTTCTTTAGCAAAATGACAACCTGGAGGTTAGGTGTCTAGGTCTTAATGAGGACACCTAGGTCTTTTCGGCAAAATGACAACCCAAAAGGTTGGGTGCCTAGGTCTTAATAAGGTCGCCTTGATCTTTTCGGCAAAATAACAACTCAGAGGTTGAGTACCAGGGTCTTAATGAGGACACCTAGGTCTTTTCACCCTGCCATGGTGGTCGAGTTATAAATGCAGGAGCCGACCGAATAATACTTATGCCTTAGGTTTACTCTGAGAAGGCACCAACGACTTAGGATTCCTGTATAGATTTGATACTACGAGAGTGCGACACAAGAGTTAGTTTCAAAAGGACTTCATTTATAATGAATGAAACTTTGTAGAGATTTAATAAAAATATCTCTTAAAGTGCTCGATATTCCAGGAACGTTGCAGGATTCTTCCATCTGGGGCTCTTAACTGATAAGTGCCTGCCTGTGACTCTTCAAGGATTGTGTACGAGCCTTCCCAGTTAGGAGCTAACTTGCCTCTCCGGGTGTTTTTTAGAGGCAAGCTTCTTCAGGTACCCCCTCTTGACCAGGTCCTCAATATCCATCTTCAGGATATAACAAATCATTAGTGAGGTGACCGTGATCTCTATGGTAGCAGCAATACTATTGAGTGTCTCGGCTCCGTGGATCCGACCTCATTTGAGGAACAGGCTCCTTGAGATACCCCTTCTTTTAGACTATGGCAAGAGCTTTTGTGAGGGAGGTGTTGAAGACAGTGAAAGCAGACCTCGGCGCAGGGTCACTCTGTCGGTCCCTCCTGTTAGACCGGTTGGAGCGTGAGTCGACTCTCGAGGGGGGGGTGGTTCTCTCAGCCGCTCCTACCTTGCAGGGGTGCCTCTAGCTGACTTGGGTGTCGGGGATGCCACCGACGTTGCTGCTAATGACGATGGTGTGGGTAGTGCTAGTGCTATTGCTGGTGCAGCAGGTGGTGCAGCAGTAGCTACTGCTGAAGTTATGCCCTTGGAGATCTTAGTAGCTCTGGTTGTCGCCTTATAATCTCGGGCATCCTCCATGTCCATATACCCATGAGCTTTGGTCAACAGTTGTTCATAATTGGCGACCAACTTCTTAGCAAGTGAGTCGGCCAATTCGTTGCTCTGCAAGCCGGCCACAAGAGCAGACATAACAACCACACTTCCTAGATTATTAACCTCTAGCCTCTTCACCTGAAACCTCTTGAAGTAGGCTCGAAGGCTTTCTCTGGGCTCTTGCCTCATCTGGATTAACACATGAGGGGGGAGCTTTTGCTTTGTGTTAGCCAAGAAGTGATAGATGAATTTTCGGCTGAGTTGCTGAAAGTTGCTGATGGACTTCCTTCCAAGGGCGTTCCACCAGAGCTTGGCGTCTCCTAACATAGTGATGGGGAAGCATCGACAAATAACTACTTTTGATGCTTGAAGCATGCTCATCACATCATAATAGTTATGGATATGCTTTGAGGAGTCTCCTTTGCCCTTATACTTCTCCACGTGAGACATCTTGAAATTCTTACATGAGGCATTCATGAGATCATCTGAAAGGGGGATGCTCCCATCGATGGCTTATGCGACTGGTCTGTACACTCGATCATATCTAGAGACCCCTATGGTAGCAGAGGGGGTCGAAGAGGCATGATGGTGTGGGAGAGTCTTAGAGACTGCTCCCCTATTGCGATTCCTATTGTGACCAGGACCGAGACTCTCACTGGTGACTTCAGGATGAGGGAGAAGATGTCGGTAAGGTTCATCAGGGTGAGTCGACCGATGTGGTGGTGGGGTTGTGTACTCAACCCTATCCTTCAACTGTTTGGCAGTAGTATGAGGAGTCCAAGGTAGGACCATTTGTTGTGTTCTAGAAGAAGGGTGAGTCTCCAATTGCTGGTCTTCAGAAGTCGGGGGATAGCGAAAGTAGCTTGCTGCGGCTGCAGAAGTTAGCTGAGGAGCTCACTAGTGAAGGTAGTGAGTTGCTGTTGGAGGTATTGAGAGATCTGCTGAGCCATTTCTTCAAGCTGAGCTTGAGTAACGTAGCTCCGGTGTGGTCCTTCAGAGTGAGACTGATCAGTCATATACTCAAAACTAGACATACTTACTCAAAAAAGAAAGAGGCCTCATGGTGGAAGCCAAACTGTTGATGTTAATAATCAAACATGTAATATAATAGGGATGACGTTGGTTAGGGGGCGCTAATTTCTCCAAAAATCTGGTTTTGAGTTGAATAGCTGCTGCCTGCACAAATAGCAACTCGTGAGAGGACAGGGATTGATTCCCCCGTTGTTCCTCCAATGATCAAGTCAGTTGATAGACTTGAGTGGAAAAATAATAAACTGCGTGAGTTCTAAAGTGTGGTGCAGTGGAATTCTCAGATATTGTTTAGAAGTCGCTTAAGATAGATTTTTCTAGTATTTGGAATAGTACCTCTATTTATAGTGGTGGAAAATCTCGACCGAGTACAGGATGGTGGTAAATAAGTATGGTATGACGGCTACGTCAGCACTTACTTTACAGGTGTCGGTCGACGAGTGGAGGAGAGGTAACATCAGTATTAAATGTGAAGTGATCGGGGGCGTGGCGGTGCCGACGTGGTCCGATGCGTCATATAAAGACTATCGGGGTAGAGGAATGATGGCGCCTGCCAAATATTTAATGTGATGTTGACACGTTGTCGGTGGGAGAGGCTCGAGGTTGAAGTCGTCCTTTGGCTTGGCCGAGAAATAATGCCTTTCGAGTCGACCTTGCAGGGTATCGAATAGCTGGTCGAGTGGGCTTGTAGCGAGTCGTCTTCGACAAGAGGACCAACAAGTACCGCCCTTCGAGTCAACCCAAGAAGATATTGACTCGGCAAGCCTGCTAAGTCAGGATCCTTGGTGGTCCTGACCGTCAATTTGTTTTGAGCGGTGCATGTAGGGGGACATCTGTTGTTGCTGGCAAATGACTGTACTTTGGCGACTAGGAACACCATAATAAAAAAATATCATAAATCCTACTAGAATATAAAATTTTCATAGGTTTCATGTATATGCTGTAGTAAAAAATGGATTTAATCAGAATATCTGATAGAAAATGGTGATCTATACCACCATTTACAGGTAGTTAGGGGCTGTTTGTTTGCCTAAAAAAAGAGGGAAATCAAAGAAAAGGAAACCTATTTCCAAGAAAAATAGGTTTTGGGATTGTTTGGTTGGCTAAAAAAAGAAGGAAATCAAAGAAATGGAGATGAGATGAGATGAGTTGTCACATTATTATAGGATGATGTGAGCGATTTTTTAAGAAAACTTATTTTGATGTTGTTTGGTTAGCGGAAAAAATAAGGAAATGAATTATAAGAAACATATTTCTTGTAATAGGTTGTTTTCTTTTGTTTGGTTATTTCTTAAAAATAAGAAAATAGATGAGATGAGATTTGTTGTCATTATATTATTGGATGATGTGATCCACACTTGAGGAAATTGTTTTTCTAGCTTTTTGGGAGGAAAACAAAGAAATAAAATGTTAATGAGATGGGATGAGTTGTCACAATCTTATTGGATGATGTGAGTGATTTTTAAATATGAGATGAGATGAGTTGAGTGATATTGTGAATGAAAATAATATTTTATTAGATGTGGTGGATGTGATGGATGAGTTGTTGGATGCAAATAATATTTTATTAGATGTGGTGGATGAGTTGTTTGATAAAAATAATATTTTATTAGATGTTGTGGGTGAGTTTTAGGGATGTAAATGTGTGAAATTGTACTTTTTGAGATTTCTTGGTTTTTATTTTTATTTTTTGGCTTTTTAGGAAATAACCAAACAGGCCCTTAGAAGATTGGTTTGAAAATTACAACTCCTTTATTTATAGTATATATATGTCACTTCACTCCTATATGGATAGTTGTTATAAGATCTCTACTGCAAAAAAAATACAAAAAAAAAAAAAAAAAAAAAAAAAAAAGATTATAAAAGACCAAGATCGAGCATGAGAAGTCTAATGGAAAAAAGGAGCAAGGAAAACTCACACTACACTGGCTTCCATTTGCAAAAAAGCATTTAACGATGGACCAAAGAGCAAAACGGATAAATGATGGTGGCCTACAAGAAATCAGAAGCAAAACTCAAATTTTCTAGTAGACTCAGTCCTCATTCATTATAAGACGAACAACCCAAGGGCATTTTCGTACAGAGCTCTTCTCCTCACCCTCTCTCCGAAAGCTGTGAACACCGGAAACTCGAAGAAGAGGTTTTTAGATTTTGGGGGGTTAAAAAAGAGATTAGAAGCTCAGGTATAAATATATTCCCATCCTCTCCTTTTGTTCTAGCTCTAGCCAATCCTCTCTCTCTCTCTCTCTCTCTCTCTCTCTCTCTCTCCATTCATTCTCACAGGAGAATCCAGTCCTCGAGGATCCTCAAACCCTAGCTCCCTCCATTCGAAGGTGATCCCCTACTTCTCCTCGCATTTAGATCTGTTCGTTTTCAGTAATTTTTTATGTTTGCAGATTTGATTTTAGGGTCTTTTTCTTTTTTCTGCAATTTATTTCATGAGATTTTGGTAAAGTTTGCTCCTTTGTTGCTCTTTTAGGGGACGGGATTGTGGGTAATTATTGAAAATTGAATTTTTATTGGATTAGTTGTGAGGATAAGTCGATGAGATCTGATGGGAAGTGGTTGGGTTCTCTCCCCCATTTCCCTCGCTTTTAATAATCAAATAATTCTTATCTCATTATATTGTTTTATTATATGCGTGATTGATTTTAATCCTTGTTCCTGTTTTCTGCCAGTTTGTAAGGGGAACATAACTTTATCCTTGTAATGGCTGCAATCGCGGCCTCGGCCTTCTTTCCGACCTCTTCATCCTCACCCAATTCATCCCTCAAAGGCTCAAAGTCAATTGGAGAGAGCCCTGATTCTCTGAATGTCAAAGGAATCACGGCGAAACCCAATTCATGTTCGAAATCTCTTGAGGTTAAAACCCATGCCCAAGCCCTTCCTAAGATCAATGGAACAAAGGTAGGCTTAAAAACTGAATCCTCAAAGGCTGAGGATGATGCTCCTTCGACCACTGTCACTGCTCCGAGGACATTTTACAACCAATTGCCGGATTGGAGCATGTTGCTTGCTGCCATAACCACTATGTTCTTGGCTGCTGAGAAGCAGTGGACTCTTCTTGATTGGAAACCGAGAAGGCCCGATATGCTCGCTGACGCTTTTGGGTTTGGGAAAATTGTTCAGGATGGGCTTGTGTTTAAGCAGAATTTCCCGATAAGGTCATATGAGATAGGGGCGGACAAAACAGCATCTATAGAGACTTTGATGAATCACCTGCAGGTCGGTTTGGGATGAATTTTTCTTGCAAATTGGTTTGTTTTGGGTTTTGAGTTTCGGATTCTTATGTGGTTTTGTTGGTGCACAGGAAACAGCGCTTAATCACGTGAAGAGAGCTGGGTTGTTGGATGATGGGTTTGGTGCAACGCCTGAAATGAGTAAAAAGAATCTGATATGGGTTGTCTCTAAGATGCAGGTGCTTGTGGAGCATTATCCTTCATGGTTAGTTCACTTCTTTTATATCTGCATTTTGTCATGGTTTCCTAACATATATGATGTTACTGCAAATGAGTACTTTTGATTTTGAGCTGGTGGACTACATATTTTTATATGGAACATAATATTTCCTTTGGCCGATAATAGTTGATTATGTTGGTAGAAATACATGCTTCTCATTTTTAACTCAGGGTTGGGATGCCTAGTCCATATGCTTCTATTTAATAGCAATATATTAGATGTTTTCTCCGATCAGGAAAATTAATTTGCCTATTGCTGATATTCATTTTTGAGTCAGACACAAAGCTTAAGTCTGCAGTTCTGCTGCTGCCTGCAAATTTTGCTATAGCAATTTAACTCAAAAAAGTATCATGGTCAATATTAGCCAACTCTGAATGTTTCATCTTTTAATGAAAATTATGAGGGCAGAATTTGACTTTGCTCAGCCAACTCTAGATTTTGGATAATCAATTGTTTCTTTGTGGACTTGGAATACCCTGACTATATGGATATGTTAATGTTTTAGTCAACTTTTAAATTCTGCAACTGTTTGGACTTCTTTTTTCTCCTGACAAACTTATAATTTTTTCTGGGCAATAAAAAAAAACTCTGCATGATTGTCATAGGAAAGCAATTTGCTATTTGCACGGTGCAATGGTTTCACCTCTTTTCAAATGCTTAGAAGCTTTCATATGCCTTTATGTAATCCTACTTTAATTTTGATTGTCTCGTTTTTTTGTCCTGGCTTAGGGGTGATGTTGTTGAAGTAGATACATGGGTCAGTGCATCTGGAAAAAATGGGATGCGGCGTGATTGGCATGTTCGTGATCTCCGGACTGGCCAAACTGTCATGCAAGCCACGAGGTTCGTTGTTTATTTCATTATAGCATGATTGTAGGTCTCGTTGCATTATAAATTTCAAAATTATTTTTCAAATGCTAGATTGAGTAATTGGGTATATGCTTTATGCAGTGTTTGGGTGATGATGAATAAACACACTAGGAGATTGGCTAAAATGCCAGAAGAAGTCAGAGCAGAAATTGGACCCTATTTTATTGAATGTGGTGCTATTATAGCTGATGATAGCAGGAAGCTTCCTAAACTGGATGACAACACTGCAGATTATGTTAAGAGTGGTTTAGCTGTAAGTTGGAGGTCATGTTTTCTTTTTCTCATTAAGTGTGATTCATCTTGGTTTTCCTTATTGATGTGTGATTATAACTGTGCAGCCTCGATGGAGCGATTTGGATGTCAATCAGCATGTGAACAATGTCAAGTATATTGGCTGGATTCTCGAGGTACTACATGCTAACTACAGTTTTTACTCATACTTCTGTGAGGATCAATGAACAATTATTGGCTTAATGATGAAACCCTCCATTAATCAAGATATTGCAAAATCACGGTTAATACGTGAGTGTCTAGAATTTGTTCATGAGATATTCATAGCCACCTGCATCTTCTAGTTCGGATGGATATTGGTGATCGTGGTGGTCCCAGTCTTGTCTATGCACAATCGAGAATTTTCTTACAATTCATAATGTGTCAGTTACATGTACTTTTCTATTGATAGAAGTTTACCTGCCAAATCTAGCTGGCCTAACAAGATTTTCTCACGTCCTCGCTGTTATCATTTATGGTTTAACATCTGTCTCACTCCCATGTCTTGGCTTGCAAATCACTTCGTCATTCGGAGCACAAGTATTCCACAGAAAAATTGTTGTTTTCTTTTCACAAAAATTATTGTTTTCTTTTCTGTTTTTTATGCAATGCATTTCGGATGCTGAAACTTTACATACTGTGAGCCAGCAAGCTTAGTTCTTCTGTTTTCTTTCCAATTCAGCTTTCATTCATCCCATGATATCCTGTCTCATAGGACACTCTTAACAACCTGTTAGTTGAATGTCCTTTTTGTGTGGATAAGTATAACACACGTGCACATGACCAGAGCCAATGAATAACTTCAATAATGTCTTCATTGCTTTTTCCTCTTTTGTCTTAAAGCACCACCAACATTAAGCATCTATCAAAATCGGACAAATTTTTGAAACCACCCCTTTTTTTATTTTATTAAGCAAAATCGACCACATGTGAATTTATTTAGCAAAACCGACCCTTTTCTTCTTAAAAGGGTTGGTTTTGCTGGCTGAGAAATTTTAGGATGAAATTGCACGGGACTAGCAGTCCCGTGCAATCGTGGAAAATTTTTGTTTAAAAAAAAACGAATCTCTCATTCTCTCTCTTCCCTCATTCTTTCTTCTTCTCTCTCGTACACACTCTCTCTCTCCTCCATTCCCAAAGAAAACCAACCCAGCTCCCCACTCTCTCCTCGTTCTCCTTCTCTCTCAACCCGCATCCCCAGCTCCTTGAGCTTCGCCCACAGCGCCTCGAGCTCCATCCGAGCCCATCGCCGCCTCGACCTCCCCTACTCTTCTCCGCCTCCTCCACCACCTCCAAACCCCCCACGCCGTCGAGCTCCGCCACCACCCCACCTCATCCTCAACTCCTCAACCCGATCGAGCACCTCCCCCTCCGTTCTATTCTCCGACCACGATCACCACGCCGCCGTCGCCCACAACCAGCGACGCCACCAAGCTCCGCCACCACCCCACCTCATCCTCAACCCCTCAACCCGATCGCAGCACCTCCCCTCCGTTCTATTCTCCGACCACGATCACCACGCCGCCGTCGCCCACAACCAGCGCGCCACCAAGTCCGTCAACCAGCCATGAACTGGCTGCCTCACCCGCCTCAACCTGCTCGCCACCAAGCTCCGCCATTCACCTCTCTACACACCCGATCCAGCCCGACGACAACCAACCGCCGTCCAACTCCTCAAGCTCGCTGCAGCATGCCGACCGCCCTCCACAAGCTCCTCTCCACCCTCCATCACCTCGCCGCTGTCCGACGACAGCCACGAGTGCTGAGGTGGAGGTCGAGGCGGCGATGGGCTCGGATGGAGCTCGAGGCGCTGTGGGCGAAGCTCAAGGAGCTGGGGATGCGGGTTGAGAGAAAAGGAGAACGAGGAGAGAGTGGGGAGCTGGGTTGGTTTTCTTTGGGAATGGAGGAGAGAGAGTGTGTACGGGAGAGAAGAAGAAAGAATGAGGGAAGAGAGAGAATGAGAGATTCGTTTTTTTTAAACAAAATTTTTCCACGATTGCACGGGACTGCTAGTCCCGTGCAATTTCATCCTAAAATTTCTCAGCTAGCAAAACCAACCCTTTTCAGAAGAAAAGGGTCGGTTTTGCTAAATAAATTCACATGTGGTCGATTTTGCTTAATAAAATAAAAAAAGGGGTGGTTTCAAAAATTTGTCCATCAAAATCACAAGTCTAGCATTTAATACTGCATCCAATATTGTTGCTAGTCAGCATCATTCATCAATAAATTCCATTAATACAACAAAAACAACTGCAACCGTATAAAACCTTTATATCCCAAATTCTTGGACTCAGCTGCATATCCTACTTTTCCAATCTGTTCTATAAGTTAATCATTACCTCCTTACAGCTTGTGACCAAGTTCTCTTAGGTCTACCTCTAGTCCTTGTTTCTTCATTAATCATAATTGGGTTAACTGCATATAGACCCTTATACTATTGCCCCATTGAGGATAGACCCCTTGTAGTTCTATTGGTGGAGATAAACCCTTTGTACTATTTGCTCAAGTGCGGATAGACCCCCCCGAGTGAACTTTTTTCTACTCTTAAATGAGTAAAAAGATTCACTCAGGGTCTATCTGTGCAAAGGGTCTATCTGCACTTGGGCTATAATACAGGGGGTCTATCTGCAATTAACCAATTATAATTCCATCATTTCTCCTGATTGATGGTGCATTTAATTTACTCCTCTGTGCATGGTCAAATCATCTCATGCCACTCTCTCATTTTATCTTCAACAGGAGAAAACTCTTTTAACTTTCTACAGATAAATTTCATTGATAATAACCACCAACTAATGTTGTTTGTGATTTCAAACAAATTCAGAGTGCACCCATCTCACTCCTTGAGAGTCACGAGCTGGTTAGCATGACTCTAGAATACAGGAGGGAGTGCGGTAGAGACAACGTTCTACAGTCCCTCACTGCTGTTACCACTGATTGCACCGATGACACATCTGAAACTAATCAGAAAATCGAGTGTGATCATCTGCTGCGGCTTGAATCTGGGCCTGAGATTGTAAGGGGACACACCGAATGGAGGCCCAAGAGTGGCCTCGAGAACATGGGCCCACATCCAGTTGCAAGCATATAAGTTCATCAAGAATAGCTGCCAATTTGTCTAGGGTAGAAGAAGGGGAGAATTCTCCTGTTGTTTGGTTTTCTTTTTCGTTTTTATTTTCATTTAATTGAGTTGTTATCTTTATCGTTGTCCCCTCTTCTTCCACACGAAGCCCATCCATATGTAAGTAATCGATTATGCTCTATTTGATCTTTCAGATCTCTGATGCAAGGGAAGTAAAAAAAAAAAAAAAAACTGTTGAGGAGATGCTTGCAGTATGCTCTAGTTTTTGGAAGTTGATTTTTTTTTGCCCATGTATGCTTGTGCCTTAGCCTCAGGTTACTATTGAGGAAGATTGATCTTAGTAAGTTTTTGGTGTTTGATTATGAATTGTTAAATATGTCTGCATATTTGAGAGGTTTAAATTATGGTTGTTACCTACTGATACTGGATTTGGTAAAGCTATTTGTGAAACTGTACAAATTCTGTCATCCATTAATGAGCGATTGGATGTCAGTAACGAGCGTGAGTAAAGGCTTTGTTGATGCAACCCAACTGTTGAATGTAGATGACTCATATGGAGGATTCCGAAGTTCAAGTTTGGTGGTTTTGTCATTGTTTTGTGTTGTGTATTATACAACTTGGGAAAAACGTGTCAAGGTCCCAAAACGAAGAACCTGAGGTGGTCTAGTCCCACCAATTATTTTTGTTAATCTTTAGCCCCAAAAGAGTATAAAAAAATGTGGTCCAGTCCTAAAAGCCCATCTTTATACATATGTTGTGTGTATTTTTGACTAACCTATCAAATATGCTCTATTCTCTCTCCTAGGAAATCGGCTCGTTGACTCCTCAATTCGGTGATCTCTCTCATCGTACTTATGGCGAAACGACGGCGAAAGCGGGGGGAAAAAGCGTGGGTTCCCTCCATTACAAGTCAACTTCATCATCATGTGTTATATATTGTCTAGTTTTTATCTCTCACTTTCTCATTTATGAAATTAGGGTTTTTTCTTCAACTTTTAACAACCCCTTATGCGCTTTAAATCCCCTCAATTACTATTCATAACTGTCCTCATAACTTTCAACCACCCCCATTGGCTGCCAATGACTTGAATTGCATGGTGTCTTTAGGCGAGAAGGCCATATTATTGATATGCTAAAGTCGACAACAAGGTTTTTTGAACTGAAATTTGATGTGTCTGAAAGATTAAAAATACCTCAAGAAGTTTTATCATTGATATATAAATCTGAGAGGCACCACAATCTGAGTTTTTCAGTTGATAATGAAGATGATTTGAAGCGCATGTTGGAGCACAATCAAAATATTGGTTGTACAGGGATTCACATGCAAGCTGCAGTTAATGTAGAGTGTTCCACTTCTGGAAAAAATCAGAAAGTTATTACTGAAATGTAAGTAATTAATGAACTCTTTATAACATTGGGCTTTGTGTGATGTAAACATAGTGATTTCAGGTTTCAAGGCAGTAATTAATGAACTCTTTATAACATTGGGCTTTGTGTGATGTAAACATAGTGATTTCAGGTTTCAAGGCACAGTCGAAAAACATTTTAAGTGTTTTTAGCTTTGTGTGATGTAAACATAGTGATTTCAGGTTTCAAGGCACAGTCGAAAAACATTTTAAGTGTTTTTATTCTTCAACATTCAAGAACCACTTATGCGCTAAAAATTCCCTCAATTACTTCTCATAGCTGTCCTCATAACTTTCAACAACCCCCAACGGCCGCCAAAGCCTTGATGTGCATGGTGTCGTTAGGCGAGAATGCTATATTCTTCATGATTTGAAGTGCATGTTGGAGCACAATCAAAATATTGGTTGTACGGAGATTCACATGCAAGCTGTTGTTAATATGGAGTGTCCTAATTCTGAAAAAAATCAGAAAGTTATTACTGAAATGTAAGTAATCAATGAACTCTGTTTAAAACAGGGCTTTGTGTGATGTAAAAATTGTGATTTCAGGTTCCGATGTGTAGTCAAAAAATTTAGTTGTCATCTCTGATGGTTAGATGTTAACTCTTCATCTTACATATTAAGTTTCTCTAAGATATGTTAACCTTTACAAGAACATGTTAACTTTCATGTGACCATGTTAAAATTTTCATGAAGTTGTTAACTTTCGTAGTAACGTGTTAACTATGCATATTGTCTGTTAAATTTCGCTGCTCTATGTTAAGTTTTAGGGAAAATGGTTAATTTTACTCCTAGTCAGTTAACACTGACAATTACCTTTGTTTACTTAAGAAATTGTTAATTTAAAATATCAGAAGATAATATTATACTATAGTGTGCATGATATCTCACTGATTGATTAATTTGTACAACAGTGATGCCTCTTTAAATGCAGAATATAGTCATCCTCCTTCAGGAAATGCTTCCAATTCTGAGAGAATCCAAAATGATTGCCCATCCGATGAGAATGTAATGAGAGCTGAAGATCTTCTCAATAACACTTCCATCATTCATCAATGGTGGCACACAACATTAACTGAAAATGTGTAACAATTTGAAACTGTAAATGAACTGAGACTAGCTTTGCAATACTATTCTATGGCGAAAAAGTTTGACTAAGAATTTGTAAAGAATGAACCCAAACGTATCCGAGTTTATTGTCGATATAAGGAGACATATGGATGCCCTTGGATGTTGTTTGCATCTCCTATTAAAAATAAAAAAAAGAATTGAAATCAAAAGGTTTGTAAATGAACACAGTTGCGGACAACATACTAACTTATCAGGGCAATCACGACCATCTCGCAAATTCATAGCAGCCCAATTGTGACCTGTATTAAAGGTTCGGCCTGAAATCCGCCCAATTGATGTGTAAAAGGGGTTCCTCACTCGATATGGAATGACTTGAATACAGTAAGATACAGTGGGTCAAAGAAAGAGCACAAGATGATATATACGGTGATAGTTATGAGTCTTACGATAAATTAAGATGATAAATTTTACAGTTATTTTTTTAAAGGCTAAATACCCATATTGGTATTTTAATTCCACCTCATTTATCAAGAAGGTGTTTTAATTAGGCAAACCTGCTTTAAGGCATTTTAATTGATTCAACTTACCAATAAGGCTATTTTTCTCGTCGGCGACCAGTTTTCCGGCGAGAGCTCATCATGTGCGTGACACGTGATGACTTAAACTGTTTTTTAGCTGCTGATATGGCACAAATTTTCTGACGTGGTAGTGTTTAAAGACGAGAATTAACCCTCTAACAATCCCAATTCACCCAAAATAGGACAGATCCGTGCCACATCGACAGCTAAAATTAGTTTAAGTCATAACGTGTCACGCACATGACGAGCTCTCGCCGAAAACTGGTTGCCGACGAGAAAAATGACCTTGTTGGTAAGTTGAATCAATTAAAATGCCTTAAAGAAAGTTTGTCTAATTAAAATACCTTCTTGGTAAATGAGATAGAATTAAAATACTAATATGGGTATTTAACCTTTTTTTAAATGTACAAATTATGTTCGTAGCCGCTTATAGTACAATGGTAGTTGTTAATTTATCGTGCAATATTTTACCCTTAGATGTTTCATGTTAAGTTTCATTGATATATTTCAGCTATCACCGTGGGATGTTATGTTTCATGAATAACTGTTAGCTTTTATGTTAAGATATTATCTCAGTTAGACAATACCTTTAACAATTAGATGTTAACTTTCACTCTTGGACGGTAACATTAAAAAATTAATTCTTATTTGTTCCAATGTATTATATTTACATGAAATGTGGTCACATTGTTGTATAAGTATGAGCAAATGGTGAAGCAAACGAATCCAGGAAGCTACATTTGCATTGACCAGAATGAAGGAAGGTTCGGAAGACTGTTTATATGTTATGTTACTTGCATCGTTGGTTTCTTAAATGTGTATAGACCCCTATTATTTTTGGATGTGACCTTTTTGAAAGACAGATACAAAGGCATGCTCCTGAGCTTCATAGCATACGACGGAGACCAATGGATATTTTCACTTGCGTATTGCATATGTGATCAGGAAAATATAGATAATTGGAGATGGTTCCTTCAAGACCTGTGGTCCATATTGTATGAAAGGTCAGACCCATAAAATCCTCCCCACCAATTGGTAATTATTTCTGATGCCGACAAGGGGATTCGAGAAGCCGTGAGAGAATATTTTTTTGAAGCAATTCACTCAAGATGTGTTCTTCGCCTGATTGAAAATTTTAGATCAAAGCTAAAGGATTTGAGAATGCAGGCAAATGACACAGAAGTTTTGGGGAATTTACTTCAATCTTCTTGCTATAAATACACTATAGCGGAATAAAATGACTACATGAAGGAAATTTATAAGATCTCTCCAGTTGCATATGAGATTGCAATTAATTATTCGCCAGAGCATTGGGCAAATGCATTCTTTCCTGGCATTAGGTACTTCATTCAATCATTATGACGTTGTGCAGTTGATGTTAATTGTCTCGCATATATGTGAATTTTCCTTTTTATAGGTTAACTATGGCTGGTATATGTTAACTTTCACCAATATATGTTAACTTTCATCTTTTTATGTTAACTTTCACTATTAAAGGTTAAGATTTGTGGTTACGTGTTAATATTATTATATATTTGATGCATCATACTTTTTATTATTTTAATGTTTGCAGATATGGTCATGTGACCTCTAATGTCGCAGAATCCTTCAACATTTGGATACGTGAAGCTCGATTGTTACGTATACTGCAAATGATGGAGCATATCCGAAAACAAATTATGATTCACATGAACAACAAACGCATAATGGCTGATAAGTGGACAAGCTATCTTTGTCCTAAAGTTGAGCAACTTATTGGAGAAAATATGGAAAAATGATGTACTTTAAAGATTAAGAAATCTAGATATGATATATTCAAAGTGCAATCACATAGAACTACTCACGTTGATTTGGAGAAGAGGACATGCACTTGCCAAGCTTGGGACGTAACTTTTATTTCTTGTGTGCATGCTTGTGCAGTCATTATTTATATGAAAAGAGATGTATATCAATATCGTGATTGGTTTATGACCGTAGAAGAGTTTAAGAAGAGTTACAATGAAATACTATATCCTATACCAGATTTTGAGAAGTGAAGTGTGCCCAGGGATGAAATCCAGATTTTTCCACCAATTACTACTAAGAGGAGGGGAAAATAGAACAAGACGCATGAACAACAGAACCATTTACAAACGTCCAGTCAAATGTTCTCGATGCAAAGCTGAGGGTCACAATTGAGCAACTTGCAACGAGCCAATTAGTAATTAGTGTGGACTTCTTCTTACAACAGTATTTTTGCTAGAGAAATATAGGTTGTCCAAAATTTTGCAAGTATATTATGGAAGACTTTTGTATTCTGTGAAGTTG